GTGGGTTATGAGGGAGAAGGCAGGCTCCATGAGGTGGTCCCATTCCCCGTAGAGCCTTGTCCACAGCAGGCACGCAGTCAACGTGTGCGATGAGAAATACAGACACTTTCCCACACTTAGAGCCCAAGTGGAAGGTGGGGGCCCATCACGACTAAGGTTGGAGATGGAAGAGACCAAGGATGGCGCTTAGAGATGACAGGCAGCCGGACACTACCCCACCCCACTCCATTCCCCCCCTTCTAAAGGACTTTCACCCCAAATTACTTTCCAAAGTGCTTTGGGGAGGCTGGGGATGGTGGCTCGCACCTTAATTCCAGCACTTTGGGAGACCCAGGCCGGTGGATCACTTGAGGTCAGGAGTTCAAGACCAGCCTGGCTAACATATTGAAACCCCATCTCTACCAAAAAAAAAAACAAAAAAACCAAAAATTAGCTGGGTATGGTGGTGCATGCCTGTAATCCCAGCTACTTGAGTGGCTGAGGCAGGAGAATCGCTTGAACATGGGGAGGTGGAGGTTGCAGTGAGCCAATATTGCATCACTGCACTCCCACCTGGGCCACATAGGGAGACTCTGTCTTAAAAATATAGGTCAGGAGTTCAAGACCAGCCTAACCAACATGGTGAAACTCTATCTCAACTAAAAATACAAAAAAATTAGCCAGGCATGGTGGCAGGCCCATGTAATCCCAGCTACTTGAGAGGCTGAGGCAGGAGAATCACTTGAACCTGGGAGGTGAAGCTTGCAGTGAGCCGAGACTGCGCTATTGCACTCCAACCTGGGCAATGAGAACAAAACTCCGTCTAAAAATTACATATATAGGAATAAACAAAACGAAATGCTCTGGGGAGCTAGAGCTAAGACAGGAGGAACTACTGCCACAGGAAGAATGTCTCACGTGCCCACAGTGGCCCCTGTGATCTCAGGGTCCAGGAAGAGCCGGTGACATTGGCCTGCCGCTGGCAGCTTCCCATATGTCAGCGGAAGTGGGAGGCATCTGCAGGGTGGATCCGGCGGTGCCTGGGAGAGCGAGCCCTGGACAAGCATCACCTGGGCCTGCCCGTTCCTCCTGTCTGGGGAGGAGAGGGGAGCCTGAAGCCAGTCACCCTTTATCCCCAGCTAAGCTCCGGGACTAGGTAGCTTAAGGGCGTTCATTCCTGAGGGCTCCTACTTAACCAAGGTCCTCCGCAATCGGGCTGCTCACCGTCAACGACTAAGGATGCCAGGCCCAGCCACAGGAAGCAGAGTGGGACCAGGCGGGGCCCCTTCCTTGCCTGCTGTCTTCCCGCCTTGCTATCAGCACCACCGCCAGGGGGCGCGCCTGGACCGCCAGGCTCCCAGCCGACCTACAAGTGCACCTGCGCTTTGTGTGTTAGATTAACATCTGTTGATAACTTACTATTCGCTTACTAGGCGCAAGTCGGGGGCTTCTTGTATTTCCAGGACTCCGCCTCTATCCCAGCTAACTGAGCTGGGCAGTGAAAAGGAATCTGATTTACTCCTGTGCCCACCACCCACGCTAGGGCCTTACTGCTTCCAGGCTCTGCTGTCCAGCCTTCCAGTGGCCTCTGGGGAGCTCGCCTAAAACCGCTTTGTGGTTCCTACAGCTTCTAGGAGAAAGTTAAACGCCCTCCTCTCCAGGTGGCCCTGGAGCTCCCTACGCCCTCCCTTCGAGCTGTTCCTCCCCAAACCTGTGGTGTTAGGCCTTTGGCCCTTCGCACTTCCCAGCCTGCTTCCCCTCCTGCAGCGGCTATGCCTCTCCCTTTATCCACGCAGTATGGTCTGGCTCCCAACTCCCGCCTGGCAGCCCACATGTGTTTCAAGCAAAACTGCATCGCACGGTGCCTGGATCGGAGATTTCCTCCTCCCTCCCCTCGACAGACGGGTAGCCCCATGAGGGTGGGTGCGGGCCTGGCCGCGGGATTCTTTGTCTCTCCAGTGCCTCCGCAGGGGGTCCAGTGGAACCTCACTGAATACACAGAAGCCGAGTCTGAGCACCTGGGTAGTGCACATCAAAAGGAACCTCGGGGCCAGCTAGAGAGGGGGGTTGGACTGGGGCTGGGGTACTCTTCCCAGGTCTAAGGTCCCAGACATTCACATACAACAAAACTGCTTTCCACGTGCCACCCCGTGTCCCCAGTTCACTGGCTCTTGCTGCCTCTTCTGTCCTCTTCCAAGAGACCACCCTCCCGTTCAGAGCTGTGGCCTCCCAGTCCACTGGCCGATGCCTACGTTCCGCCCACCCTTCCAGGTCTCATAGTTAATTTAACCCTTTCTCCACCAAGTGAAACCACCCTGGGGGCTTGGGGTGCCTGTTAGACAAGGATGTTTCTGTGACCTGTGGTTGGGGTGCCTGCCCTCCCCTGACAGAAACCATTCTTGTGTCTCCACTAGTGGCAGCTCAAGCCTAGCAGGAGGAAGGAAATTAAATCTGTGTTGAAGGAAAGACATCTGGCGGAAGGGAAGGGGCTCAGGCTCCCCTCCTCTGAGGAGCCTTCAAGTGGGGGAAATCCCCACACGCCTCCATTCTCTGGGGCGCCTCGTAGGGCCTGCGGTAGGTTCCAGTCCTCTCCTCTGTCACTTCCCAGGTGCACATTGCCAGCAGCTCCTGGACTCCATCCTCCCACCCACTTGTTTCCCGCCTGATGCACATGAGTTGGGCCTCCGAGTGCTCCAGGCTCCCTGGAGGAGGCATCCAGGTACACATGGCCCTTCAGGCAATGACCAATCTTGCCCACAGCACCCAGGATGCTGGCTGGACGTATCTCAGCCAACACACCCTCCCACCGGCAGTCCCGGATCTTTTGCCCCCACCTCACAGGGCTGGCACCTGTGGAATCCTGAGGCCCAGCAATGACTCCAAGAGGCCATCAAGTCCAGGCCCTGTTGCCTCATCACACTGCATCCACAGTGGTGTCTGAGTGGCCAGGGAAGGTAGCCCTCCCCAGCTCTCAGCATGACTTGTCAGGGGCCTCTAGAACTCCTGAGCCCTTGGGCAGGACTCCAGCAGGCAGCGCTGATTAGAAGCCACCTGGGAGCTCCATGAGCAGGACAGGACCCCACGTATGACCCCGCAGGCCTCCAGACAAGAGGGATGTATGTGGAAGGCTCTCCACTCCCAGAGTCTTGGTCCTGAGGCTCTGCATTCATGCCAACGGCAACCCCCTTTCCAGGTGAATCAGAAGCAAGGCACCCCAGAATCAGCCCAGCCATGGGGAGCATCTCTAGGGATCCCCATCTCTGCAGCCCCCCACCAGCTCCACAGCTCCTGGGCAGGTTCACGATTTTTCTCCGCCTTGCAGCTTCTTGGTCCTTTCCCCTCACCCCTGCCCCTTTCTTCCTCACGCCGATGGCTCAGCCTCCTCCCGCTTTTCTTGGTTTCTGTCAGCTTCTCTCTCATCTCTGAGCACCCCCCCCCCCGCCTCTCCTCCTCTCCGTCTCTCCTTTTCCTCCCCTTCCCTCCTCTCTTTCAACCCCCCCTCCCACCCCCTCCACTCCAGGACCGGGCTAGGAACGCAGCAGGAGAGTGTGACAAGCCCAGGCGGCTCTCCCGACCCTTGGTGCCCCCGGGGCCATTTCCCCGCGCTCCCCACTGCCGGCAGCAGCCGCGTGCGGAGAGGGTTTGCAGACCAGAAGGGGCCGCAGGTTCGAGCTGTGGGTACGGGGGCTCAGATCAAGGGCCAGGAATGTCTGGCCCCCTGGCGTGAGACTTCCTCCAGCCGTGGCCCCCACCTCGAGGAACGCCCGCCGTTCCAGGCCTCTGTAGGACTCGGGTCGGCTCATTCTCTGCCCCTTCTGCCACAGTTCCCTACACCGCGGTCTACCGCTCCCCACCGGCGGGGCTTCCCTCACCCAGACCGTGGCTGCGCAGAGCGCTGGTGCCTCAGGTGGCCGGGGAGGGGGCCTAGGGGAAGGCACCCAGGTGGCCGGGCGTGAGTCCCCAAAGCCTGACCAAAATGTCGATACTTCCCAGGGCTGAGACCTGATTCCTCGAGCTGGTGAGGGAGAGGAGAGGAAGCAAGCCCCAAGGGGGCCTGGAAGGACTCCTTTCCTGTGGCGAGGGCTGGGGATCTGGAGACATTTGGTGTCCACACAGGGCAAGGGTCTTTACCGCAAAACCCCAGGCTGGAGCTCCCTATCAGTAGAAGAACCAGGGCCTCAGGCGGGAGGGTCGGGCAGTGAGGGACGCTCCGGAGGGCAGCAGGGTCCTCCGAGGACCGGGGCCGCCCTCGGCCAGAGCTGCGCGTTTCACCGGTCCCTGACGGTCCCACCGATAATCCCAATGAGGCTGTGGGTCAAGCTTCCGACCTGGACCCGAGGTCGGGCCTGAACCCCTCAAGGTGGAGAAAGTGACCCGACTCCGAGAGCAGGAAATGCGACTGGCCGCTGGTGTCAGTTGCAGGAAATGCAAAGGCAGCAGGAGGTCCCGATACCGATCTGATCCCTGACAAAAGACTCAAATGACACTCGGCTCGGTCCCCCGGCGCCGCCCGCAGCCAGACCTTCGAGCCTCGGCGGACTCTTCCGCACGCCCCTCGGACGCCCGGAAAGCGACCTCCCGCGGCCGGGGCGAGGGCCCGGAGGGCAGGCGGGCTTGGGAGGCTGGAAGCTGGGAGGGGGTGCGTTCCCCCACCCCCCGATCCTGACCCGCCCGAGTGGGGCTTCTGGAAACATCCCTGTGTTTTCCACCCTCGATTCCTCACGGGCCCACGTCCCAAAGGGTCGCAGTCCCCGCCAGCGGAGGAGCCACCCGTTCATGCCCACGCCAAGCCCTCGCCGTGTGAACGCCCAGGTCAAAGCCCCCTCGCCCTAACCCTGGCCGGGGGGGGACCGCGGCGGTAGCAGAAGGTCCGGCCCCCGACGCCCCCCGCGAAGCCTTGCTGCGTCCAGGGCGCGGGCTTTGCCCAAGTTTGCTGGGCGATGCCCTTCCCCGAGCCCGAGTTGTGGGCCGGGCGGGAGGGGTGCGTGATTGACAGGCTGAACTACAGACTCATCTCTTACCTTAGGCCGCGGGCGCTGATTGGCTGCTCGCTGACATCCTCAAACCCGGCTGCTCCGCGCTGGGCTCGGGAGGGGGGCGGCTGCGGGTGGAGGTGCGCTTCTGACAAGCCCGAAAGTCATTTCCAATCTCAAGTGGACTTTGTTCCAACTATTGGGGGCGTCGCTCCCCCTCTTCATGGTCGCGGGCAAACTTCCTCCTCGGAGCCGCTTCTAATGGAGCCCCACCTGCTCGGGCTGCTCCTCGGCCTCCTGCTCGGTGGCACCAGGGTCCTCGCCGGCTACCCAATTTGGTGGTAAGACTCGCCTCTTGTCTGCCCGCGGCCCGGTTTCCCCGCCGCGTCCGGGGAAGGTGGGGGCGCCTGCTGGGGGTGGGCTGCGGCAGGGCTCGGGCTCCTCTCCTCGCCTCCCTCCAGCCCCCCACCCGCCCACCCCTCCTGGATTTTCTGCTGGTGTCGCCTTCGGAATCCAACTCCTGGCTCCCTCACCATTTTCCCTGCTCCCGGCTGCAGAGGCTGGAGGACTTTCCCCGTCTCAGGAGGTTTCTTATTCTTAGATCCTAACCCTCTGCCCGTCCCAATCTAGAGGCCTCCCGAAGACCCCCCCATTTGCTTGCATCTGGGTTTCTGGAAATCCAGCGCTGTCCCTGGGGCCCAGCCACTCCTCTTCTCCATTTTGGGGTCTTCATGGGCAAAACCATCCTGTTCCTTCACTGCCACCCCACCTCTGCCGGCGCCTCCAGCAAGAGATTCCCCACAATAACCCCCCTTGCCTTCGTATTTCAGACCCCAAAGGCGTCAGGGCTCCTCCCGGGGCAAGGGAGTGGGGGGATTTCATCAGATTCTCCCCACTGCTCTAGATTCATCTTGAGCCTCTGGAGCGAATATGGTATTTGCTGATCCGGGATGCCATTGAATTCGGGATTTATTCATCTCCTGCTTGTCCACCCTGGCAAAAGGGGGCTTCCTGGAAAATGTAGTTGTCTGGGAGGGGTAGGCTTGTTGTTCTTAGACCAAAAACCCAATTCTCCATGTCACATTTGTTCCTTTTGGAAAACCGAGGACTGAGGAGAAAGGGAGAGGGAAAGGAGAATTCGGTTCCCGAGAAATGCGGATACAAAAGACATTTTAGTAAATAAGGCTGGGAAGCCGGGTGCAGTGCTTGGGGGGCTGTGCTTGTCTGGGGGGCCTGTGTGAGGAATAAACATCGCTTTGGGAACCTCAGCTCCAGGAGTCCCCTTGTTTTCCAATTGGCCCCATCGCCACTCCCCCACCCTCCGCAGGTCCCAGGGGCCAGAGGGGAAGACACTGAAACCAGTTCTCTAAATTACACCCCGCCTCTCCCCAGTCTCCAGCCCCCTGCATTCCGGAAAACTTTAATTAAAGAATCTTCCCCTCCTGGATGTAGGAGATCTTCGGCCTGGGGGTGGGAGGTGAGGAGGAAGAAGTGGGGATCTGTGAGTGAGAAGTGGGCTGTGGCCCCCAGGGTGAAAGTCAGAGAGAAGTGCCACCATGCTGCGGTACTGCCTGCAGGCCCCCAGTCTCCCTGCCTGGCCACCCCAGAGCCTTGGGTAGGAGGAGCAGAGATGGCGGGATTTGGGGGCCACGCCCCGAGTCTTCTAGTTGTTTGGGGGTGGTAGCATTTGTGTCTGCGTGTTTGGGGGCCCCTGGGAGAGAGGGTGGGGGCATGGCCAAGGGTCTCTATTTAGAGGGTGCTAGGAGTTGCTCCCAGGACAGCCAGCCAAGGAGAAGTCTTTCTTCTGCCCAACCCACACTTTTCCGTGGCGCTGGGCTAACCTGAGGCTTCCAGCACATAAAGAAGTCCATGGGGTGGCCGGGACAGCAAGGGACTCCAGGATGGGGGGCTCCACGGGTCTGGGGAAAGGCTGCTGCCCACACCAGTCCGGCCTTGCCCAGCCATTCCTGACCCTCTTCTCATTCCCGGCCAAGGCCATGCTGTTCTTTGCTTTGCCTTCGCAGGGACTCTGGTGGGTGGGGGAGGGCGGTAAGGAAAGGCTTGGCTGCCCATAGGTGGCAGGGACTGGGGAAGAGAGACCAGGCTCTCCAGCCCTATGGATTGGAAGAGGACACTCTTCCAGTTGGTGGAGATTCTGATGTGAAATGGTGTCTTGGGGACCATCTAGATAGGAATTACCCAATCAGAGGAAATGCTGGGGAAAGCTGGAAGGTCAGGACGCTGGCCCTCACATCATGCTAGACACATGGCTTGTTTGGGAATTTGGTGGGGACAGGGATGCTGCTTTGTCTAAGCCAAGGAGGTGTGTGTGTGTGTGTGTGTGTGTGTGTGTGTGTTTCTGGGTCTATGACCCTGAGAGGTGTTGTCTATACACTAATGTGTCTCTATGTGCAAAAGTGTTTGTGCCTACAACTGGGCAACTGTGGATGTGAAATCGTGTGTGTGTGTTGGGGAATCCTTGGCCCACGATAGGGTGTGCTGTGTCTCTGCACACAAGTGTCAGCAAGTGGCTGATGCTGTGATGTGTGTATGTACGTGTGTGAGAGACAGAGAGAAGTCTAGAAGTATCTTTGCCCATGTAAAGGTCAGTGCCTGTGTCTGCTTGTGACACTGGGCTTGACTGTGTTCATGACTGGGCATGTGAGTGTGTCTGTGTGTGTGTGTGTGTGCGCGCGCACACACGCATACCTTCATGACAGTGTGGGGAAAGCCCCACAGATGTCTTTGTGCGTGAATATCAGTGCTCATGGCCATGACCTGATTGTGCTTGAAGTAGGAGAGTGAGCCTCAAGTCCACACTGTGTGAGGGCTGTGTCTGAATCTGCCTGTGATCCTGTCCCCACGTGCTGGGCGTGGGGCTGTGGCTGTGGCTGTGAATATGTTTACAGACAGCTACCTGTGGGTATGAATGACACTTGAGCTTGGGTGTTTGGTGGGCAGCCATGGGCCTGGAGGGGAGATCCAACAGGAAGCAAAAGTCTCATAAGGTGGCTGCAGGGGGCACAGCTGGCCAGGGATGGCATGCTGGAGAGGCAGGGGCAGAGGCTTCTTTGGCACCAGCTTGTCCTGTCTGTCCAGGCACTAGAGTCACTGGCCCTTCTCTCTGAGATTGTTTTCTTTGGTCTTGGAGCTGGGGTGGAGGGTAAGTCACCTTCTTGGTGCTGGGGATGGGGCTGTAGGGTGGATGGGCCTCTGATTCCTGATCACCTTTTCTGCCCCACTTCCCCATCCCAGCCACCCGCCACCCTGCTGGGCAGTCAGATTCCAATACTTTGAGCATCTAAGCCCATCTTGCCTTGCCCTCTTTGGCCCACCCGCTCACTCATTCCCCAGGAATCACTGACAGGGGAAGTCTTGTAGCTGGGATTTCTGTGTCTTGTAGCCCCTCAGGGACGACACCCTCAGCCCACACTTCTTGACCCCAGTCCTGAGTGAAGGATGACCAGAAGGGACAGCTCTGAGGGGACTCAGACCGATGCCCCTGGAAGGGAGAGATGTGCTCCAGGTAGTGACAGAGCTGGTACAGAAGCGGCAGCACTGATTTCTCGAATTCCCCTTGTCAGTTCCAGTCAGCTGCTGGTGGAGAAACTTGTCTTTCTTCTCCTTCTTGGGGGCTTGGGGTCGGCGGGTGGGGGAGAAACCTATGTTATTAGGGCCTAGCCCAGCACCTGCTACATTCCAGTGATGGAGGGGGCCTGCTGGGGGTCAGGAGCTCACCCTGCTGCTGTGTGACTGAGGACCAGTGGTCACCCATCTGGGTCTGCTTCCCTACCCTTCACCCAGGGGTCCCCAGGGGTCCCCAGCCGTCCCTGCCTCACAGCTTGGGTGAAAGTGTTTTGCAGAGGACAAGGGCAGCGAGCTGGGAAATAGGACACCTGAGTTCTCGTTCTGCTGTCCCAGGACCATCCTCCCACTTGAGCGCCTGCCTAAGCCCTACCTCAGTTTCCCCGTCTGTCAGATGTCCTGTTGCCTCCCCCACCCACTCCCACCTCCACCAGGCTTGTGAACATGTTCAGTCAAACCCCGTGGGGGTCAGTGGGCTGGGCCCAGAGAGGCACCTGGAGACTGCGGGGGAGGAAGGCCCCAGGCCAGGTGTTAACACTTGTAACAGGCAGGAATTACAGCTCACTAGGGCTGGGCTGGCTGGGGCTGGGGAGAAGCTGAGCTGGCTGGAGGCTGTTGATCCCACAGACAGACAGACAGACAGACAGACAGATGGGCAGATACCAGATTGGATGGCCAGGCTTTAACCGGGTGGTCTTCCTTCCAGGGCAGACCTTACCCTGAGGGGAAGTGGCGGGGAAATTAGTCCAGGTCTCTTGGAAGTGAGTTAACAGCCCTCCTGCTCTCCCCGCCCCCATCATGGGCGGGGCTTTGGAGTCCAGAGGGAGCAAAATTGGTGGCAGATCTGTTGGTATTCTTCTGAAGGGATCACATTTTGCTTAAAAAGAAGAAAACAGGTCAAACATTATAATAATATCAGGAGCCTGAGCTATGTCCTTAGAAGAACCTGCTTTAATATGTTGGGGGATGGCGTGGGGGAAGGGGCAGCTCTCAGGGAAAGTTCTAGACTCTCAGAGCATTTTATCAACAGCTCTGGGGCCAAGAGGTGAGTGATGGGTGGAGTTTGAGTATCTCCCCCATCTCCACCCCAGGGATCCCGAGGGCTTGGGTCTGAGATGTCCGCCCTGCCATTAATCCTGGCCTGGTAGGAAGCCCTACGGTGAGGAGGTGAAAGAGGTCAGAGCTGGACTTTGGTGCCAAGTCTTTTAGGAGGTACTTGCTGCAGCTTCCCCAGTGGCAAACCCAGCCAGGCGCTACCAGGGCCCACAGTCTGGCCTCTGGCTGCATGCTCAGTCACTGACAAAGGTGGAGAAACTGAGGCAGAGAGGGCTCTGGGTGGAAATCTCCAAAGAATGAACTCAGCCCAGCAAGCATCCCCCATCCTTCTCACTACAGAACTTAATGCTAATAAACATTAATGGTACTTCGGCTGATGTAGAATTGGAAGAAGTCTCTCCTTGGTCTGGGCGGGAGACAAGGAGCTAGGGGATGGCTCAGGAAAGGTGACTTATTTCAGAAGAGTATGCAGCTAACAGACCTCCCAGGGAAAAAGAAGTGGGGAAAGGGAAGATATTTCTGGTCTCCGAATGTGATGAGCCCGGAGTTGAGCAGAACCTTTCCCACCTACCCTGATGTGAGCCACAGAAACTTTCTCCAGCTGCCAAGGAGGACAAGGCATGTTCCACCCCTCATTCCTAACTCAGGGAGGAGGTATGCCTAGCCCCACCCCCACCCCCCAAAGGTTAGGGCCATCCTG